TATTTTGAACAGTTAAAAAGATTTTTCAACTGACTCAAAAAATAAATATAATTTTTATTTTAACTCTCATAAAAACAATTTTGGAGAGAAGATATTTTTGTCATCCTTACAAAAATTCCTACGACTCAAATAAATAAAAGTCTTCGGAAATCTTCTACTCCTCCGAGTCCTCCGTTAGGCGCTCCGAATGCGTCTCGGACTTCAATAAAATCTTGTGCACCTTCTTGAATACTTCAAGGAATGGCACTTCAAGTCTTCGTGTTTGTCGTTGTAGCACTTTGATCTTGACTTGAATAAATTGTGTTTGTCAATTATCAAAACCTGTGAGTCAACACTTAACAACACAGAAAGGGTTGAACTCATGCATTCCAACACTTGCTGCCTTGCTTAATCATGCATATAGTTACACTACGAGAAAAGATGTTTTTTACCACACTAGTTTTGCCACACATAGCCAAGTATGGTAAGGAATTAAATTATGCTTAGCTGTTCCACACTTACAAGTGTGGCCACAAAAAATTAATCAATTGTAATAATTCACGGTGCTTCGTATTAGATATCCACACACATCTTAAGTGTGTAAAATATCCATTTAAAAATCCAACCCATTTTTAATCATTTTAATCGCGCTTCACATGGCTAGAACATATGTGTGAAACACGGTGAAAGCGCAACATAAATTACACGGTGAGAGGGCAATAATGTGTAACAGCAAGAAAACCTTGCTGTTTGAGAAGAAGAAGACGAACCAGAGAAGGGGGTGGGAAACAGAATATAGAGAGAGAGAAAGAAGAAATGATTTGTAAATTTCCAATCAATCCACCAAACTGTACATCAGGGTTTATTTATACATCCAGTATTAGCACTAACAACTCCCTTATTAATAGCTAACTAGCTAACCACCCTAACCGCTCTTAGTCATCACGTTGACCAAGACCTCCACATCAGCAAGCTATAACATAATGCCAAAGAGAGATGATTGGGCTAGGGTTCGAAACCCTATCACCCGGCCACGACATGGATCTACAAGGTTCAAAGTAGCAAGCAGATACAGCAATTGAGAAGGAAGGGAAAGGGAAATAGTCTGGACAACCTACCACCATCGACAGCTTAGAGACGATGAGCGATAGAAGCGATCCGAAATCTAGAAAAATCCAGCATCTAATGGTGTTTTTGAGGGTATAATCTTCAAATCCATTGTTAATATTCACTTTCCTCTTTATTTATGTGTTGATTTAATGTTTATTGTCCAATTTCAGTTATATTGTGAAAGTTTAGGGCTTGAATAAATATATAATTATTTTAAGTCTTGTTAAATGATTGATTTTATTTATATTTTGGATCTAGGTAGTAAGTTCTATGATTGTATGTACGTAGTGTATGCTATGTTTAACATTCAAGAAATTTTTAATGTTTTCCAATTTAATTAATAATTTTGAGTGGTGATACTAAATCAATGCTTTAGAGTGACATTTATTTATATTGAAGTTAGCATCACAGT